CATGCCCAGTATATAAACTGGGGGGAGTTACCCAGAAGGGACTGATTGCTGCTCAGGTCAGGCTGGGTATTGGTCAGGTGGTGGTGAGCAATTGCATTGTGCATCACTTGTGTTTATTGTTTTGGGATTTGGGCTTTTTTTCCCTTTTTAGTTTTGTATTCTCTCCCCTTGATATTTTCCTTATTCTTACTATTATTAGTAGTAGTATTATACTGTACTTTAGTTATTAAACTGTGCTTATCTCAACCTGTGGGGTTTACACTTTCCCCCTAGGGAGGGGGGAAGGAAGTGTGCGAGAGAGGCTGCATGGTGCTGAGTTACCAGCTAGGTTTAAACCATGACAAAGTATCAGGTAAAAACAGGTGCTTACCTTAAAAGGTGTTTAATTTTAAACTGCTGTCCCCATGAAATGCTATTTTCGGGTGTCCATCTATCTGTTCTTGATGCTGGAGGTGTTCAGCTCCTCAAGCACTTCATCTGGGAGGATGCTTGCACTAGCAGCACACGTGCAGTGTGCACATCCCGGCTTCTCCATGGATTTTGTGCTATAAGCATAAAAAATTGTGTAGGTTTTCTGCTCCTCTGTTATTCTCCAGTTATTTTGTCTTAAGATGAGTTTCAGCAGTCTAATTGAGATCAGGTTCTTCAAGGCTGTAGGAATATATATTCTGTATTTTGTGTTTACCTTTCCAGTTTTCATATTTAAACTTTTTAAATGGCTTTTTCCCTCTGTGTTCATCTATCTTGGTGAAACTGGAGGTTTGTGTGATAGTAACCATTGATTTCTTCAGCTGAAAGAAGTTATTTCTTGATCCCTCTCATTTCTCCTGTGCTTCTCTCCTTGTTTTTGAATGGCTTGCTTGCTACTGTCTAGTGTCAGGCTGTCTTCCATCTACAGTGGGGTTATGCCTTCCACATCTTCATACTCTAGGTATCTGTAGGTATTCCTGAAAAACATTTCATTTCTAGTTTCTGGATCCAAAGGAAACTGAAATTTGGTCTCATTTGCATGGGCTTGGCCTTCAATCCCGAACTAGAAAACTAAGCAGTGTACAGAATACCTAGGGTTTTCTGCAGGTAGGGAAGATGCACCTACAAAGATGCCTTCTAAAATAGCTGTGCACAAAGCTGCAAGAAGTCTGGTCCAGAGGGAGATTCTTGTCCCATGGTTTCATGGGACACCCTTCATCTTGTATGCCTGCTGTTCAGAGATGCCATAGGCAGAGTCAGATCTCAGTAAAGCTCCGCAACATCCTAGCCTGGTGCCCTGGAAAGAATCCACAAACACAGAAAGCTTGCTTCTGAAGGACCCAGAAGGCAAAGGAGTGAACACGAGTATTCCCCTGTGGCATACCTCCTGCCTAATCTGAATTCTGCAATTTGGCTTTGTCAGCCACTCTACAACATGCCTTGGTGACTTCCTGACACTCTGTGACATCTCTTGGTGTGAAAAGCTTCTGTGTTGTCATTTTTACCACCTCTGCAGCATGTAAGAAGTTTATAGGACAGTCACTGTTCTGCAAAGGGAATGTAAATCACATTATTGTATCATTTCTAACAAGCATATCTTTGTTTCCTGTGTTCAGTTTCAAAACAGTAGTGACAGCCCTTGTTACTCCATACCTGGAAAACACAGTTTGCATATGCTGATTTTTTTTTTTAGGATGCTTATTTTCAGATTGCTATAAAGTCCTCTCCAAAGACATTTCGTTTCTTTCCACTCTGGGACTGTCAGCATCAGAAGCTCCTTTTGGTTGGGCTCTTGAGAGTCTTAAGATCTCTTCACAGTCCTCGCTGCAGTGTTGGCTCCCATGAAGATGTACCTTATTGCAGGGTTCTTTTGTTTTTACCTGAAGAGTATCTCCTGTTTGTAGTGACAGAGAACCACTGTCTCTGCCTAGCTGTTCATGCACACATGGCTTGTGGATCGTTTATTCCTGTGACTGATACCAGCTAGGCAGTTCTCTCTGCTGGGTTTCTGCTGTGCAAATCTGCAAGGGTGTACCATTTTTCTCTCCCCAGACATTGTTATCACTGGGAGAGATCTTATGTAAGGATGGAGAAAGCACAACAATATTCATCAAGTGGCTTGTCACTTTTATTTTGAAGGGATGTTTTTGCACATCAAGAGGACCTGGAGCTTAGGGTGATAGATTTTTCTTTTTTAGGGGGTTTCTGTTCCACTGGTGGACATTACATCCAGGGGTCTGAGGAGGAACAGGCATTCATATGTACTTTATTTATACACATTTGAAGGGGAGACAAAATCTCATCCCACTTCAGTGAAAGGATGGTCAGGTTGTGGAATGGGTGTATTGATCCCCAGGCAGACTTTTTAAACAGTGCATCCCCTGGGATTTCAAAACAGAATGCCAAGATGGAGCACCCAGCTTTGTTTTGACCCAGGTGACTCTTGTTAACTTTTAAGGGAATGTATCTGCTCCTGGTTGGTAAGATAGACACCCTGGAAGCGTTATCCAGACTTCTGCAAAATACTGCACTGGAGTGCATGGTGCCTTTGAAATGTCCTTCAGGCACTGCTTTTCAGTGCTTAAGTGTCTCTGCTGCTGGTTTGGACTTTGCTCTGGGGTGTACACATGGACAGGAACTCAAAAGCAAAGCAGCAAGTGTGTCAGTAAACAAAATTTACTAAGAGTTGCAAAATAAAACATAAATATGTCAAAATTGCAAAATGTATAGTCTTACTAGCAAATCGGTAGGTTAAAAAGCAAGAACACGTTTTTAATTCTGAGTGCTGAGTAGAAAGGAAGTGTGTATAGTCCCAAGTACTATAAAAATATGTATCTGAGCTTGACTGCAGTATGTTTATTAACAACACATTGCAGGTAAGTTTTCAAGAGACAAGATTCTCCTGAAGGTTACTGGTCATTTCATGTGGTGCTTGTGTTAACAGCACACCAAATTTTTCAAGTTCCCTTTTGGTGGCATTATTAAATATGCTGAGAAATAGTGCTGGATCTTTCTTTTGCAGTTCCTCAGTACTTGCATGTCTTGTAGTTGATTTTGATGTGCCCTTCAACATATGTGTTTTTGATAAACACTGTAGAAGTTAGGAATTTGTTCTTCCCAAGTGAGAATAACTCATGCAGGATAGGGAAAACCTACTTCTTTCTGTATATTCTTTCCAATAGAGAGGCTGGACTTGATTCCAGAAGAGTTTGAGGGTCGCTTCTCCCCAAACTGTTATTTTTCCAGTGGTAATAAGTGACTTGGCTGCAGGCCTCTCCATCTTTTCCTCTGCATGCTTTTGACATTGAGCACAATGCTCTCCAAGCTTCCAGCTCTCCTCTGTCAGCTTCCCCAGGAGTATACTACAAGAGGGATTTTACTGAATGCAGGTGGAACAGCTCTTAAAGACCTGCCATCCAATGCATAAAAAGTCTACACTGGTCATGGAATTGAGGATGGAGGAGATTGCAGAAACATCTGCAAGGAGATCCCTTTGCCTTTGCCACTCAACTATGTGCCTCTCTCAGGACATCACACTCTGTGTTGCATTGTCTCCAAGTCTGAAAGAGGAAGTTTTGCTGGTAGTTTGCTTTCCTTCTCCAGTTCTAAATTGAGATTTCTGGCCATGGACTCACATCTGTGCCTGCAGGGATGTTTATGAGTTCTTGCTCTGTCAATGTAAAACAGCAATATAGTTCTAGTTATTTTCTGTGAATCAGTTACTTACTATAGCAGAAGAGGTAATCCTTTCCTAATGCTCTTGTTTCTTACAGACTTCATTTAGTTTTTCATCAGACTATGCCAGGGCTATGTGCCTTGGCAGAGACACAAAAAATACAGGAGAAAGGTCGCAACTTTTACCTTAATGTGGCTGGTTTGTGCTATGGCAGAGTTAAAATATGATATTATGATGGCTCAAGATTTCTCAGAATGTTTTTAAAAGAGTATAAAAAATTCACTTGAGTGGCTTCAAGTAGGGAACAGGTTAGAGCTGTTACTGGGGGGGGGGGGGGGGCCCCCCCCAAAAAAAAAAGGGGGGGGGGGGGGGGACCACCCACAGAAAAAAAATCCCCACAAACCAAAACAACCCCCATGGGTGTTTTCCATGACTTTGGACTTCTAGCAGAACCAGTGACAGTTAAATAGCACTTTTTTTTTTTTTTGTTACAGGGCTATTGCTATTATCGGCTCTCTAAATGTTGCATATCCCACATTAGATGAGACCTAAGCAGCAGATTTTCAAACTTAGGTGAAATCTGGATTATTTTGCTTTGCTCATTCAGGCTGCAAGCCTTAGATGAGCGATTCTGATTAGCATTATAACATGGCCATTGTGCTTAATCCTGACAATCAGGCAGTGTGTCATGAGGTTGGTCCCAGAATTCCATCAGTTCCAAATCTGGAAAGCACAATAACTGCACAAAAAAACAGTAGAGCTCTTAGTGCTTTTTGAAAGAGCTAGATTCTGTTCTGTGATAGAAATTATTCATTCAGAGGCTTTCTCACTGAACCGCATTTCCAGCTTCTGGATATTTCTGAAAGGAAAGAAATGCAATGAAGCCTTCTAGTAATGGAGCTTTGAAAGCAGGGATCTCACTGTACAAACAGAGGAGAGAGAAGTTAGGAGTGAAATTGCTCTTTTTCTAGTGATGAGAGTGCACGAGGCAGCCACCTGATCAATCTCACCCACCTGCAATATTTCAGGGTGTGTTGTCCTGCCTGCCTTGTTTTTTATTTTCAGCTAAGGGAGTATTTTTGAAATCTACCATCCCAAGATGAGGGTGGGAGGAGAATGATGTGAAATGTCCTCAGAGGTGGTCTCCAAACTGCTGCTTGTCCTGGTCAGATTAATCCTAAATGTAAAAACTTCTCAAGGTAAGAAGTAGTATGGATTTAGGTATAATGGGGTGCCAGATTTTAACCTGTGTGTAAATTACCCTGTTCTCTCTCTCTTTCTCTCTCTCTCTGTTTGAAGAGGCTTTTTTTCCCCTCTTACCCGTCTAAATTACCTGTTGTTCCTTTTGCTGCAGCTATTCATAGTCTGAAGTTGAGTCGCAACCATGTGGACTGGCACAGTGTGGATGAAGTGTATCTCTACAGTGATGCAACAACATCTAAAATTGCAAGAACTGTTACACAAAAGCTGGGGATCTCCAAAGGTAATACTTTTCAGAGTTTGTAAAGAATATTGTAAATACCGGTATTTTAGTTTGTTACTTGAACACTAGAGGGAGATTTCAGGTTTGGAGTTTTAATATGTCACTTAGCCCACTTTGGCCATTGTATTTTTTACAGTAGAGTATATTAGGATCCTTAGGTTGTTCTACATAATTGTGACTAGATGTGAATCGGCTATGAGTTATTTTTATTTTGCATTTTATTTTGGATGTAGTAGTTAGCAGTATATAATAAGTATATGGCAGAGTCTAGCAGCTACAATGTAAGAGTTACAGATCCCTTTGCAACCTTAACTTTACTACTGTGTACTTGCATAACACAATGCCTTCCTTAAATATACGATCATACCATCCCTTCTCACCACCTCTTGCATCTTTTTCCATTCATTAAACAGACATATGAACTTAGAGGAGGGGTGAAGCATTTAGACAGAAATTGTTTCCAGTAGGGATCCAGGCTCATTTAAGCTCAAAACTACCAGTCATAAATCCAGCAAGGCTGAGATGGTTGGAAGAGAAGATAGTCTCTCTCAAGCAAAAGTTAGATTATTGCCAACCTTGAAAACTGGAACCTATTCTCTCAGTTGTGGTGCTCCTATGCACTGCTGGACAACTACAAAAACAAGAACATACTCATCTGTCTTGTTCCGTGGTCCCCGAAGAAACAAGATCAGGTAATAGGTTTGGCTTTAATCTCCGTGCCTCTGTCCTGTAATTAATGCCTTCTTACCCCACAGGGCTCTTGGGTGGATAATTAAATGTTTGCCAAAACTTAATATAATTCAATGCTGCAGTTCCAAAAGTAGTCTGTACCAGAACACAATTTGGATATTGTGTAATAAATAATAAGTAAGATCTGACCTAAACAATTGGAGGGGAACATATGAAATAAAGCACACTTGGTAAACAAAGCCTGTCCTGTGTAAAAACTGCCCTTAGCATTTTTGTAGTGTTTTCTTCCTCTTTAAAACCAAAAGAAGTTGGTTTCAATTTTTTTGGAGGGGGATGATGCTACTGCCTTCTACATGGCCATCTGAAGGGGTTGCTGGCCTCATGCGCAGGTTATGCAAGGCTGTGATCCTCAATATGGGTCTGTCACTAGAGGGGGATGAAGACACACTGTGCCAGTGGGTTTCTCAAGCCTTGGTTTAACAGTGAGTGAGAACCCCCGTTTGCCCTGGGGTTTTGGATTTTTGGTTTGGCCACTGGACTGGAGAATGAGTGGGGAAATTTGAGGTTGGATCAGCTTGAAATAAAACATAGGTTTCCTCTTAAAAATGAAAAATTGTGAAGCTTTTCAACCAGATCTCTTAATTGGGTCAGAGAGGATGACCGTGTTTACCAGGTTTTTGGGCAGATCATTTCCATGATTCTTTCCATGCTGTGGGAGTAAGGCGGAGATACAAGGAAGTTTAACGATTGAGACACAAAGAAGAAGGGTATGGTGTTTTAAAAGTGGATGGACAATTATACAACTATTTTCTAAAAAGTGTTTTTTCAGAATACTTCTGAAATTAGTTATCTTTACAGTGGAAATGGCCTAGTGATATGCTGACTGATACAATTAATATCACCTAGTTGCAGATATTTATAAATACATGCTATTCCTTTATGTATAAAACTTGTTTTCAAAATACTTTAATGTGTTGGTCTGAGAAAAGTCAAGCTTCTGTCAACTTCATAGAATGTAACTGATCTAGGATAATGTTTTTTCTACAGCTTTAAGTAGTGGGACAAGGCTACATAGAGGCTATGTAGAAGAAGCTACATTAGAAGACAAGCCACCACAAATTAGTCACATTGTGTTTGTTGTGCATGGTATTGGGCAGAAAATGGACCAAGGAAGGATCATCAAAAATACAGCTATGTGAGTGCTTTGTAATATTTGCAATACCAATCTAGCCTGGTTATAAGGCTGACATTACAAATGACAGCAGACCCTTTGGTTTAAGCTGTATCTTTTCCTGTTTCCTTCTGCTCCTCCTCCCCTGAGTCTTTATATTGTGGGTACGCTACTTTCTATGTGAATCTGGATGAATGGACTTAGTGAGAGTAGCTGCAAGCAAGAAGAGCAAAGATATATTCTGTTTTTATGACCAACACTTGCAACTTTACGAGGGCATGTAGTGACAGGGCAAGGGGGAATGGCTTTAAACTGACAGAGGGAGATTTAGATTAGATATAAGGAAGAAATTCTTCCCTGTGAGGCTGGTGAGGCACTAGTACAGGTTGCCCAGAGAAGTTGTGGCTGCCCCATCCCTGGCAGTGTTCAAGACCAGGTTGGACGGGGCTTGGAGCAACCTGGTCTAGTGGAAGGTGTCCCTGCCCATGGCAGGGGATTGGAACTGGATGATCTTGAAAGTCCCTTCCAACCCAAACCATTATATGTTTCAACCATTCTATGTCTTTTAAGGGACTGGCCTGTGGATTTCTAGCACCATTGACTTTGCAGGCATAGCAGGGAGGGATGTTTCATTTGATCAAAATCAAGGGGAATCTCTGTTGTTCCAGCTAGTTGTCAGAACAGTGGGCAAGAGAAGTGTATACTGGCAAGAGAGGGGAAACAGGGAGCTAGTGAGAATGTTGGCATTCCTAAGTGGACGGAATTACTTCATGCAGTTGGAAGCTATTGCTCTGAGACTCTTCATGGAGTTCTGTGCGTAGATGCCAGTTGGAAACTAAAGTGTGAAAGCTTACTGGATATTCCTATTGAATGTCTATTGTGAAGACTGGTTTGCAAATGGCTTTTGACTTGACATCTGAGCTAATTCCAAAGGCCAGTTTGGGTCCTGATGAATGGGGAGAGAAACTTCTGAGCTATTGAGACTGCTGTACCTGAAAAGATTGTGAATAATAGAAGGAGCTGTGAAGTCATGATGACAGCGTTAATTACAGATCTGTATTGTGCAGATGGTTTAGTATGTGTGTCCCAAATAGTTTTATGTTCCATCGAAATTGACAGGAATAGCGACATACCAGTGACTCCTGTGAATATGTATGTAGAACTGGGATTACTGATTTCATGGTAAGAGCTTTGTGAACCTCCCTTTAAATCCAGAATGGCAATGTATGTCAGTGCTTATGTGCCATCGCTGCTGTGTGTACCATCGTGTCAGCAGGCTCTTGTGTTCTTTCAGCTCATTCTTCCGCTCTAGTGTCCTCTCATGTGGTAGAGCATACCTCTTGATTTCACTGCTGTGCCATTTGTCATCTCAAAGCAACGACCTGCTACTCCTCACTGCCCTTGTTCTCGCACTTACCTGCTCTTTTATTTGTATTGTTTAAGAGCAAGCAATCAAACCAAAGAGAAGAGGATCCACAGCCCTTGATAGAAAGCTGGTTAGTCACCAAAATAAATGTAAAAACTTATTTTTTTTTTAGATGCAATTACTTTGGAAGGGCAGAGACCCTAAATATAAGTTGCTGTTTTAACAGCAAAAAGAAATAAAACTCCCACCTTGGAACCATTAAGGTTTTCTGGTTTTTCTTTTTGCCTACCACATTTTCTGTTGAACATACATACACGGGTTGTATGGGTGGTCTAACTTCAGCTCAGGACACAGTGCATAGGTGTTCATTCCATAAGAAGTCCTGCTTTAATTGACAGCCCATTATGTGAAATCTTTTATCTAAAAAGGAAGCAAGACTTTTTGTGCTTCAGTAGATCTTGCTCATATCCTCAGGAAATATCAGGCAGTATTGCATAACCTTTTTAAATGCTAATTGTTGCCATAAAATGTGTATTCTGTACAAAATCTGCAAATTAAAGTATTGTGTTAGATTGAAAACTTTTGGGGTTTGTGTTTCGATTGGATTTTATTTTTTTTTTAATAGCTTTAAACTTACCAGTAAGGAACACCCCATATGTTCTAGGAAGAAATTTTAGAAGAAATGTCTGCCCAGCCAGCGCAATGGCAACTCTCATAAGCCATACTAGCACTTTCTCTTAATAACTTCATCCATGATGCATGTGTGTATTTTCTTTTTTTTATTTTCTTTTTTTTTTTCCTTCTTTTGCATTAGGGAGACAGGAAGTCAAATGTGGCCTTTTGAAAAATTGTAAGATAGACAAGGAGAAATATTTTTTGACTGTTCACATGTTAAAACAGGAGCTAAAGATTTCAGTGTTTTTTTTCCCTTTAAATGCACATTCTTTAGTTTGAAACATGTAGTTGCAGCCATGCTAAACCTGTTAACTTAAGCCATACATCTGCACATCAGTGTCACCGCTCCTTCCCTCATCAATATCTGGGTACCACCAGGCAGCAGATGTAGCAGGCATTATCAGCCCTCAGAGCTCATCCTTGCCTTGGGCTGCATGCAGCTGGGAAGGATGTGGCTGTCACTTGTGATGTACAGTTATAATGTGTCCTGGTGTGGGAATCTTGTGGTAGGTGTGTCCCTTAGAGATTGCTTTCAGTTTAGGCACCAGAACATCTGGCAGGAGACATTCCTTGCAGAGTGACACCAGTTCTCTCTGTGGACCCTGAGACTTTGATTTATATGACACTTTTCATTCAAGGCTTTTAAACTGCAGTGTGTTATAATTTGGTTGAAAGCAAGCAAATTTTTACCTAAGAAACGTGTCCTGAAAGCAGGTAGTAGCAAGGTGGGGGTTGCTCTCTTCACCTAAGTAACAAGTGACTGGACAAGAGGATACGGCCTCAAGTTGTGCTGGGGAGGTTTATGTTAGATGTTAGGAAAAATGTCTTCACCCAAAGAGTTGTCAAGCATTGGAACAGGCTGCCCAGGGAAGTGGTGGAATCACCATTCCTAGAGGTATTCAAAAGAGTGTAAACATGGTGCTTAGGGACATGGTTTAGTGGGGGGCTTGGCAGTGCTGAGTTAATGGTTGGACTCAATCTTAAAGGTCTTTTCCAACCTAAACGATTCTATGATTTTATTTTGAGTACAGTTTGCTTGGGTTTTATATGGTTGAGAGAGACTTAGCTAGATGCCTGGGTGAAATGCAAGACCTAGTGGAGAATAGTGGAGAAAAGGAAAGGATGGCTACAGAGAAAAGGGGCAGGGAGGGAGGAAAAGCAAAAAAGAGAAAGTGTGTGATTCTCTGGGAAGGAACAGAGATGAGGTAGGTTGGTCAAGGCAAACTCTGTGACACCTTGCATTTTTTTGGTATGGTGCTTGGAGGGACTCTGGGATCTGCAGAAGAGAATACTTGTTCAGGTGCCTTCCCTTTCTACCCTGCACAAAAAAAATCTCTTGTGCATTTTGTCACATATATTTATTGATGCTTCTTTTTGGATTCATCCTACCCTGGGATAAAACTTTTGCATTTAGCTCAACCTGTTGAGTCCAAAACTTCAGTTCATAGCATAAAAACGTAGCCTGACTTGAACAAGCGGTCCTAAAAGAAATAGAAAGAAAAGTGCAAAAATACAGCTTATAACCCAGATGTGGAATACTCTGTTACCCAGGCCAGTGAGAGACCCTACCAGAGTTCATTTGACATGCTCTGTCCTCATGTTACCAGCTGGAGAAGAAGTTGGTGCAGCTCATGTGATGCATCTGTATCATTAGGCAGATCCTGTTGGTTACAGAGGTGAGAACAGAACTCTCTTTCCAGGGTGATTTAAAACTATATGTGTTAATTTCATTAAGTAATGGAGTTCAATCTAATCATTAATGTGGCTAGATGCTATGGTTGCAGGGTCTCCTGTAAGCATGTAAATGGAAAAGCAGCATTTTATCGATGCTTGAATGAGCAGGTCTTTGGTAGATGTGACATAATTTTGTTTTTCCACAATGTAGTTAAACACATTTATTATCTAAATGTAGAACAGCAGCTGGTACAACAAGCTGCTCCTGTCAGTGCTGATATTAACTGCAGAACTTGTCTGGGAAGAGACAGTACCTCCTCCAGGCTGGAACAGTGATTCAGCCAACCTAACGTGAACAGAATAATGTGCTGTGAGATGCTTCAGTAGCATATGGATGGTTATTTAAGGAGGAAAATAGTATATTCTGTAGTTCTGTGTAATATAAACTGAGATATTATGGCAAAATGTACTTAACTGGGGGGGGGAGGAGGTGTTGTTTGCCATCAGGTGCCATATTCTGGCATTAGTAGGTTTGCAATAAGGTACAATGTTAACTTTAAAAAAATCATTTTGGGATATCCTCTTAGTGTACACACTTTAATATTGTTATTTGGAATATTTTTTTACTGAAACACAATATCTGATTTTGTTGAACTTGTGCTTCTAGATTGGGGGGAGGCATCCTTACACATTTTTAATAGAATTTAGGAATGTTACTATCCATGTCTCAAATCTCCTTTAGAAAAATCCTGTTGTTTTACCTGGCTCATGTAAAAGTTAGACCCTCTAAATTTCATCAGCTCCTGTGCTTGGAAAATTGAATGAAGTAACTGTTCTGTGTATTTCCATAGAAGCTGTAATGTTGTGACACTTCTTGGCTGCTCTTACCCTAAAATTGGCATCTGTCTGCCTCTGTCCAAATTTTCTGTTTTGATTCAAAGATTGTATTTGCCTGTGCTGCTGCTTGTAACACAAAACTTGCTGTGCTCAAAAGCAATGTCATTTTGGTGTTCCATAATCACCAATTACATTTTTATTGCAAGTCCCATTAGAAAGCATTTTAATTGTGGAATATCATTATAATAATTGCCTCAGAATAGCTATTTTGGTAAATTTCCAGTGATGTGTAAGCCCTTACAGAGTGCAGAGCCTCTCAGAGGCCTTTCAGTGCATTAAATATGCGCTGCTGGAACCAAGATTCTCTGTAAAATTTTTCCTATGGTTTTTAGCTTCTCAGATACTTTGTAGCTTTGCTTATTTTCCATTTAAATGCTTGGATTGCATTAAATACGTATTACATGCTTGTTTTCCATTCTTAAGTACTGGTAATGTTTCTGAAATTAAGTATGCAAATAGTAAAAATTATTTTA